TGGCAAAGTAAATGGGATGGTGAGAATAAAGGACGGCATTTATATAATATTCAAAAAACAGTTGGAAATGAGAGGAGAATTTTGGGGAATAGAAAGGAAGATGGCATAATATCTCGCCTTAGAATTGGACACACTGCACTTAATCAATCATTATTTATAATAGGAAAACATGAGTCTGGACTTTGTGGTAAATGTGATCTTCCTGAAACAGTTGAACATATTTTAATAAAATGTAAAGGATATGACAACGAAAGAGCACAACTTACAGAAGCATTTCATATAGAAATAAATCAGATCTCACTTCAGAAATTGTTAAATAAAGATGTGACTATAGAAATGTTTCACATATTATTTAAGTGTATCAAAGATACAGAGTTAATAAACAGGATTTAAAGAATCACTAAAAAAATTTTTTAGTTTTTTTTTGTTTTCCTTTAACGTCATTGCTCCACACTCCATCCTAGTAGGTGGTGGTAAATGCACCTAAAGCTGGTTTGCCAACCGCCATAAAACATCAAAGAAGAAGAAGAAGAACAAAACACAACCAAAACTAGGAACAGAGTCTGACAATAATGGTGTTCAACCTCTGACCCAACATTTTTACTCATATGGAGAACACTTTTACATCTGAGGTTATCTAAGGTGGCAAAAAAATCTGAATGAGAAAATTATTAACTGTATAGACACAAAACAAAACTAATCAAACATTATGAAATAGAAAGTCTGTGACGCTCTCATTTTTTAACTGATTTTAAAAAGTTTTCTTCAGTTTTGTCTTGCTTTCCATTAAAAATATTGGAGAAAAATGAGAAAGTAAAACTTATTTTAGAGAGCATAAACCTCACCAGTATAAAATATTGTTCATAAGATCAAATCTGAACAAACTGAATTATGAATGAAGGTCTGAGCAGTAGATTGTGTAGACAGGAGGCTGTACTGTCCAGTGGCCTAAAAGTCTTATTAAAAAAGGTTGCATGGTGGCCAGAAAATGAGTGAGATATTGCACTCGTCTCCCTCAGACAACCAGGGTTTCAAGACGTAACCTAAAGTTCTCAGAGCTGAGATATTTTGGATCATTGGATATTGGAAATTTCACAGCCTCCATAAATTTAGACATCAGCAGGAACTTGCGACACACAGCAAGTGGAAAACTGTCGAATGACTCAAAAAACATTGGCTGAAGACTTTAAGCAAATAGAATGGCCCAACAGTCTTAAATTTATAGTATAGGCCTAGATGATGCTAATTCAATAGGAATGCTATTGTTTCTTTTATAGACCCTTCTAACTACAGATCCCAGTAAACACTGAAGCCTTTCTCTATAATATGAACCGATTATCTGACTTGCCTTTGTCATCCATGGCTGATTCTGATTATGATGGTGCACTTTTACACTTAATTAAGAGATACTCACAGCCTCTGCAGTTGTGTGTATTTGGAGAAGATGTAATCATCCAAATTCCTGATCCTATTGTTCTTCAGAGACCTGTAAATTATAAAGCATCGAATTACAAACAACACAACATTACAGGTGTAGGTTATCCGAGAAAGGAAAATCCTGTAATCTTTTACTTGACTAATAATGTTGTAAAAAACAATTATTTTTATATTCCATTCCATTAGCAAAAGCCATATGATATATATGTATGAGGAACAGACCAATATGTAAGTCGTTAGTTAGTGAAAATCCTCCTCTCCACTTCGATCTTTCAAAACTCATTCCAGACTCAGATTCATGGACTACTTTGATTTTGTGAGCTCGCTTCAACCTTCAGTACTACATAGAAAAGAAAGAAAAACCTGGCCATTTTAAATATCTCCTTTGGTGTTCAAGAAAAAACGAAAAATCACAGTTTTTGAAGAATATGAGCATTCATCATTCAAGAGTAAATGATGAACAGAATTGCCTTTTTTTTCGGGTGAATGATCTCTTTAAGGAGACTTTTCATTCCACAAGGCTGAAACAATGTGGTTTTCCTGGATACAAATTAGAAACTACTGATATGAATTATCTAACATTCCTTTTTTTCCCCAAAAACATCCCCAGAATCCAAATGATAATCTCCAGAATCCTTATTCCAAAAATCATAAATTATCAATAGATACACGTTCTGCCCTGTTTATCTCAAATGATCTTCAAAGTCCAGATCAAAACAAATCAAAAGTATCATAAGCACAAATATACCCCATGCCGAACAATCTAAACATAACCAAAACCAACAAACAAAATAAAATCCTACCTTTCAAGCAGTGTGCCTAATTTTTCTTATGTCTGGTAAATGTTCAGCGCAAAGAAGCTCTTTATCTCGTTAAGCTTTATGGCTCAGTGATGAAGCACTATGTCTCACTGATGTCAAATTTGAACTCCTACAGATTAATAACCTCTCGTGGGAGCAGAGGAGTAAAGCTCTGCAGATGGATCCCAGCTCGATGTACTTACAACCAAGTCACATTGGAGGAGAGGACAGGTACGACATGCAGGTTCACGTCAACACATTCCACCTCGGTCTTAATGCAATCACAGCTTTCCGGGTACTGCTGCACAACTGTACAAGATCAATAAAAACACATACAATTATTCAATTATTATAGCAATACATTATTATTACATCTAGTACACAAAGCTAAAAAAAACTAACTAAATAAAAAAGATTTATTGCATTATTGTTGTTCCTTTGGTTTGCCTTCTATTGTTCATTTCTGTCAGGAACACATATATTGCCAATGCAGCATTTCTATTATGTATACATGATTAATAAGGTTGATCCAACAAACATATTAGATGATTTGCATTACTGAATTTTTCATTGTTCAAATTAGTCCTGCACTGAAAAAAGTTCTTGGAAAAAAACAATTTTCCTGTCCGCTCACTCTCTTTTAAATACTACCCTTTTTAACTAAACATATTTAAATATATAAGATATAGACATTAGTATCAATTCAACTATTGTTTCCATTAAATTCCATTTTTCTTGTAGGAGTCAAAATGAAAAGAATCCCCTCACCAGGAATGTATAAATATTATATGATATATAATTATGATCTAGTTACACAGTATGAGTGACAGTACTCATGTTCTTTAATAAAATAATAATAATGTAATATTTAAAATAATGTTTAATTTAATTTTTATTTTTATAACAGTTTCTATTATAACAACTTTAATGGCAAATGACAACTTTAGGATCAAACATGCTAACCAGTGCTGTCAGCAAATGCAGCAGCAGTAAGCAATAATTCTACTATAGTTCATGCCTGCTTATGTGCCTTTCAGCAAATCAGTTTACAGTACAATTACAGAGCAAGTGTCACCTAATTAATATTCATAATCCAAGTACATAAATGTTTATAAAAGTTAATATAGTATTCCTCATTTGTCAGCTGCTTTGGATAAAAGCATCTGCTAAATGAATAAATGTAAATTATCAAGTCAGTATTAAGATCCCAGTAAGTACAAAAATTTCAAGGCCAAGGGACTTTGAAAGCTAATAAATTTCCAACCATGTGTTTCTACAAAATCATAAAACTCATGCAGATTTACAACACACTACAGTAAAAAGCAGCCAATAGGATTTCTGACTTCAAAAGCGTCCTGTAGACTACTAAAGCCTAAGGCTATAAATGTATCCAATAAACTCTTAAGCCCAAAACACACTGCACGATTTTAGCAATCCTATAAAATCACTGTATGTCTGTCAGGGATTCATCACAGTCACCTGAGTACTGATCACCCGCACCTGCTGTCACCAATCAAGACACACTACAAATACACACACAGCACAGTTACTCACAGTCCGGTCCACCATTCACTCCTATAGACTGTTCTGGACTCCCTATACGATATTCTCCTAGAAGGACTTACCTTCTGGTTCTCCTGCGATCCTCCAACGACTCCTTGGAAGCTGTTCCACGATCTCCCATGAAACCGGCATCAGACAGTCACCCTCAGAACTCTGATAAGGACCCTGGAATCATTCACTCTGTTGACACTCACCTGCCTTAACCTAACCCGTTCCACTCCTCCACATCCTGTATCAATAAACCATCCTGTCTTTCACTTACCCGTTGTGTCTGGCCTTGATTTGTGACAATGTCACACTGTGAGACATGGATCTTAAACTTGGCTATGACGTGTGTAGACTGTACGATGATGACACCTATTCACTCGTACGCTACCACGCACATTACTACAGAAGAAAAAACATCATCAGCATGCGTTAGTGGTAAACAAAAAGAGCATGATAAATCACACTTTAGCATTGTATTTTATGTGTGCTGAAAAAAAGTGGAAACGGCGAAAGGGGAAGGGATAAGAGCTAGAGGTAAGCAGTTTTATGTTTTAGCGCCATGTCGCGTTGATTTCATAACGCATTTTTATTGGTTGGTCAGTAAACGTGGATCGTACCAGCAAACACACTGTGCGATGATCATTCTGTATCGTAGGCATTCTTTGGTTGCAAGACCGTGACAACGGCCATCTTTGAACCTCTCTCACTGTACGATATAAGAGCACCGATTAGGAGCCACGATCAAAGAAATCGCCACGATTGTTTCACGATGTCAATCTTTTGTCTGGGACAGCGGAAAACCATGCAATGTGTTTAGGGCTTTAGAGAAGCAAAAAATCTAAGTCTGGCCCTGACATGGAAGTTGCAGCAGCATTTTGAACATGTTTTTTTTTGACGAGCCTCAAGATAACATCACTCATGCTAATCTTTTCCGAAGGAAACTGGATCAAGACCGGGACACATACAGCAGTCATTAGGAAGGTCCTGTGGCTCTGCCTTTTTAATAGTGCGGTCAAAGATATCCGCCCATCCGCTGTTGTCCCCTACAGAAAGCGAAAGAAAGTCTTTGTATGAGAAAGTATGCACCGTAACAATATTAAAATATCACTTTAAAGACATGAATGACTTTTGTGGTCTAAAAGAGATGTCATTTCTCCCTGCATGGGAAAATGTATTACATCAATGTTGAATAACCATCACCTACTAATGTATTTCAAAGTGGAATCAATGTTGATAAAAATTTTGTTCTGTAAGTCTGAACATTACATTTTCTACATATTTTAAAAGTCAAAAAGGCTTTAGAATTGAGTACAGCTTTAAGTACATCTATTTAATTTCGGTAACACTTTATTTTAATGTGTCTTTGTTTATAATATATGATTATAATAACAATTAATTATGCATAATTACATGCAAGTAACCCTAAGCCAAACCCTAATCCTAACCCTAACCATATAGTAAGTACATGTACTTAATTAATTTTACACAGTACTTAAATGTATAATTAATTACTCTGTATCAATGACACCTTAAAATAAAGTGTAACCAATTTTATGCAATTATCAGCAAAGTAAAAAAGACAGATAAATGTGGCCTTACCGCAGTGCTCCTCATCTGCTCCGTTCTTGCAGTCCCTGTGGCCATTGCACTGAAGGACTTGGGGCAAACACACACTCATGTTTCCACATGGGAACTGACCCAGAGGGCAACTTTCTGTCACTGCCCTGCCAGCCATCATGGATGCTGCTGGGGGTGATAAGAAGAGGGCAAAAGAAGGAAGAGAAAGAAAAGTTACAACATCTGCCAGTACAAAATGGATATTGGTAAAAAGCTCTTTCAATCACTGCAGTAATTTGTGCTTCTGTCAGTGCAAAGTAGATGACTGGAAGCCCTCCAGCAGTGTTAGATGGAAGGCATTAGCCAACAGACAAATGCGCACCAAAATACAGCAGAGTTTGATCGAGTTTGCCCTTCAATGTCAACAAAAAAGTGTATTCTTCTCCCTTTTGAAAGTTGCTAAGCATATTTATTTGATCATCTTAAGCATGTACGTTGACGGCTCTAGATGCAGTAAATACAACGACATGAAAAGGGCTCACACACAGCGTGTGACAACAATACTATATTTTGTAATTGGAAAATATGACGTCTATGAAGATGGGGCTCCCTACGGCAGGCAATTATTCTTCTTTCCATTTGACGTGACAAAGAGAGGCCAGAGTACACAAACAAAACGTTCTGTACAAAGGCTCTTTCGCAATAAAAAAATAACTTACAGCTTCATTTTGCATAATAAATACTCTCGTTGGTGATCTTTCTTATCGGCTCTCACTAACACTCATCACAAATTGGATTTGTGATCAATTGCGAGGGTGGGTGGCTGTCCCAATGCATAGCTTTATGACAATGAAACATGGCCTTGTCTCTGACAGCCTTGTATACAAGAAATACGCTGTTATGTCTAAGGGATATTTGTCACATTGTCTGTGTCACATTGGGAGCTAGTGAATGACATGATTGTCAGAGCATATGCAGCTTAGAATAAATATGTTGTGCATTATTGGTGTATACAACAACCAGTGCTAGTTACAGCTTGTAGTGTATACAGCTTCTGTATAAGACTAACAGCTATATAACTAAAATATATGGTCTCTTCCATACCATATATGGGTAGGAGATTTATTTAATTTTTTATTAAACACATTATGGAACACTTTCATATGCGTTAAAAATGTAACGAGAGTTAATAATGCAGCTATATCCACTCTTTTTGGAACAAATAAATAAATGTTTGAACTAACTGGGTTCCCTACTTGAACCAGATGTTTACTGCTCCTAGAAACTGGTTTTGTTTTTTAATTGAATTATTTGTGAGACTTTAGAAAATACTTAGAGCACAGGCTTTCACACATCACGTAATAAAAGAAAAAAGCTTCAAGCACAAAAACTCCTTCAAGTTATCATCATGCAACCTCAGATCAGGAACATTAGTAACATTAGTCCTGGTAAAGAAAAACAACTCTGCATGGAACAATATTTTTAGCACTGGCTCAACAGTAACAATTTCTGTCTGCCAGCCTTATCAAGCCAGTAGTTCTGATTTTCATTTGCCAATATATTTACATATACTATATATTTATACTTTCTTTACTAAGACAATTTGCAATAATACCTGAAAATTATACAGGAAGCTCCAAGAAAGTCATAAATTCATGAGTACATATGCTGAAAAATGATGACATAGAGGGCAAAACATTACTCAATGGTTTGTAATTTTCTACCCATTCTTGCTGATGCTAACAAGACTATCACAAGTTATTTTTACAATTTCAAAAAACCCACATATGTCAGCCAGCAAAACAATTAGATAACAGTAGACAAACACAATTCACTACAAAAATGCCACAGAAACCAAATGTTGAAGTGTGCACAGCATAAAAATGAGTGTGCATGATCAAAAAAAATTAAAGTGCTGACCAAACAGGGCAGGGATCTCCAACCTGCTGGAGTGCTACCATCCCACAAACTTCAGTTCCATCCCTGCTCCAACACACCTGCCTGTAATTTTCAAGTAATCCTGTACAACTTGATTAGCTGGTTTATGTGTGTTTGATTGGGGTTGGAGCTGAAATCTGCAGGATGGTAGCTCTCCAGGAGCAGGACTGAATACAAAACACAGAACAAGAGAGAGGTCACATCCAGTTATCCAGTTCGGTCCGAGCGTTTTAATATGCTTTCCTACCTGCCTGTCAATGCATGCATTAGCATACCTCTGCGCACCGGGTTCGCGCAGACAGGATATGTCATCAGCGCGTTCACGCACGCTGTGCAGACAGAGCGAAGATGGCAGGCAAACATCAACAACCCGATCTTCCTTCCTGGTATTGTAGTACTTTTAAAGATTTCTCACTGGTGAATGACACATGATGTAGCCCAGCGGTTAATCCAGTCCTCGCGCCAGCTCGTTAGAAGTGAGCTACGTGCATGAACTGTGTTCCGATCGATATGATCCCTACACAGTGTTCATCGCTCCCTACTCCCTGAGCGGGGGAAATCCGTTTAAGTTTACTTCACTTCGGAACATGGGCTGGAATTGGGAACCGCTGATGTAGCCTATTGTAGTAATGTTGTCTCTGGTCTGTGAGCGTAAATGCGTTCAGGGGGCGTGGCTTTGGACGGCAATTGCAGGGAGGGTGGGACATTCGCGTTCAGTGCTATCGGGCTAAAGTTAGCATTTTCCAAGATCTCCTACTGCACCTTTAAGTCTGTGACTTCAAATAGCTAGTTTTGCCCTTCCTTGGCCAAAATTCCTATTAAATCTGTATGTGGCTATCAGGGTACATCAGCACTCGAAGTGACATATTCAAACAAACAAATTAGCTTGTTTTTTTGACACCAATGCAAATTCATGTAAGAGCCAAGTCCAGAACAATAATATTAAATGAGTACGACCAACTGGCTGGCTAAATGGTATCCAAGCAGCATGCATCCAAGGAACCTAAAGAGAAAAATAAATAAATAAATACATCTTCCTGATCAGTGGCAATAAAAAAAAATTCATTGCCTGGCTGTAAACTTAATGGTTGCCACTGGTGTGGAATGTCCTTCTGAAGTCATTTTCAAAATGTATTCAGTGTTCCTGTGAACATTAAAAAATAAATGCATAGGTAAACAGATACTCAAATCATGAAAGGTCATGGTATTTTAAATACACATGCTTCATACGGTGTGATGAATGGCTCAGCACTGACCACCTTCGAAAAAACACAGTGGTGCTGTTCAGATATTTCTAAGTGTTGTCAGGAAACAGACTTTGACTACTAATCAAAAACTGTATTGGAGCAGGTATTAATTAATCATTAAAGCTATGTGATTTTGAGATGAATCAGAAATCTGCATTCAACATGAGAAATGTGCATTTTGTCTCTAAACAAGTGAGAGAATGGAAATGCAAGTAGACTTTCAGTCAGGTCATTCTGACCATCAGCAGAAAAGGTGTTGCCATGCTATGCCTAGTTAGGGCTATACATGCCTTTCTATCTTCCAGAGAAAACCCAAGTCTTTTGAAATAACATATCGAAAATTGAGCAATTCCAATCCAACACAAATAATTTTTTATTTGTGAGTGCCGCAAGGTAAAGATAAAAAGTGAATGAATAAAAATTTCTGCCCATTTCTCACAGAATTAGAAGGGTTGGAAAAAAGCATGATTAGGAGTATGGATTACTGTTACGGGCCTTTTTTGTTTCTTTTTTGTCCATTTTGGAGAGTCCCTGTATGGAAAAAAAAGTATTTTGTGTTCCATGTAAAAAAATAAGCATAAATGTTTGAAACAGCATGGGGGTGAGTAAATAATGACAGAATGCTTAGTTTGGGATGAACTGTCCCCTAAAATTGCATTTAGTTTTCCAGATGGGAATCAAGGGATTGAGCTGAGCCACAAACTTGTCACCTTCTCATTTATCTCTCTCTCCTGGCTGTAATCCCAGTAACTGGACCAGGTGGCCCAATGAGGCCTGCAAATCTGGTTTTCATGATCTCGTTAGCATGCCTTCCAGCAATGATCTGTTTCATGGTGTCTCTGAACATGTTTAAAGTTGGGATCACGCAAAAGAAAGTCTGGTCCTTCAAATCAAGAGAACAAAATAGTTTTTAAAGGTGTAATGAGAGCCAAAAGAATCCACAGGAGATGACTTTATGTTTCCGACACATTTCATCTGTTGGATTTCTACGTTTGTGGCATGGATCTTTATCGCAGGAGCCTTTTTTATGCTACAAAGAAAAAGACACATTCTTAGTCTGGAAATGCAATTATTTGCACTGTAAAACCCAGATGCACATTTTACGTCTCCCTGAAGATAAGAGATGTCTTTGGTTAAGAGGGAGCAGAGTACTTCCTATTCATCACAGTTTTTGAACTGCCACAGTAAAACTGCCGCAAAGGGATTGTAAATGTACTGTGTATCATCACCATTTTAATTTCTGCAAATATTAGTGCTCTAAATAACGGCATTGTTCAAATTTCCTGTTCATATTAATATATTTTATATATTAGCCACTGATCTCTATGGACCAACGTAACTGATCTCTTGGTTCAATGAATCCAATAGCCCAGAGTGATCGTTTCTCCTCTTCAATTTGTGTAATGTGAGAAACTGAATTACATACAGCACAGGCACCTGCGTTATGAATGATATGACTGAAACAAACAATCTTAGATAAGACACCTGTGAAAGACTCATTTATTTGAAAAGCTTCATGTTCACACACCCACACACACATATATAAACACGGCTTTGACCACTTCACCCAACAATTATATAGCGTCAAATCTGTTCCATTATGTATTTCAGCAAAATGAACTGTAATGAATTATGACCAAACCCATGTTGTGTCATTAACCTTTCCTTTTGAGGCCATGCTGGACATCCGTTGATGTGTGTGCATGTCTGTGTGGAAGCCCACAGTTTCCGAAGTGCGACGGAAATATTATTGTATTGATTAGTTTTCTGTTTCAGGTATGGTACTGTATGTCCATCAATCTACACTGTAATGACGCTTGCAAACTCTGTAAGCTGTGCTGTGAATCAGTCGGTTTTCAACTAAAAGCCGGAAAAAAGACATTTTCTCATGCTGAAAGCTGGAAAACAGATGTTTTCTCACGCTCAGAGATATGCGTGTGTGAGAAAATAGCACATATGATGTTAAAAAATAAATGGCACAGTGGATGAGAACAGTGATTTATTTACAATACAGCATGGCCTCTCGTACCTTATTGCTATAGATTAGAATAATGTTATTCCTTCATATCACATGGTGAAACAATTTAGTGAGGTTTAAAATATTATAAAAAGAGAAAAACAATTATTATCTGACAGAATTTTTCATCTACATCTATAGTATCTACAGATATGCATTAGTATCAAAACATTTTTTTTTGTATTTTGTACTACGGTAATGTAATGTCAGGGAATTATTGTTGAGGACTTTATAAATGTCGACATATGCAAGTGTTTGTAATTCATTTAAGTGTATTTGCATTTAGCTTGATCGTGTTCTTAAATAATTTGACAGCTCTTGCATGAAAAAGAACATATCAGTAATTTATGCACACTACTGGAGGCTATGCACAAAAGATAATGTTACAGAAACTAATTCAAAAAATGCATAGACCCAAAATAAAAGAGAAAAAGAAGAGAGCACATATATAACAATCTGACACAGATAAAGAAACCAAGTGAAACAAATGGCAATGCAGACCAGAACGATGGCTTTTTAAACCGTGGAAATGTTTTAGATCCGTGTTTACATTCGAGTTTCACACAACTTAGGTTTATGGCTTTATGGAGGGCTCACATGAGACATAGGGTCGCACATGTGACGATACCATCTGGAAAGAGGCTCATGACAATGGCAACAGGCTTTTTAAGGCAATGTTGCCAGGCAACCATTATTGGGTAACAGAAGGAGAAACTGGCTAACCAGTAGTCCTACGTCTTTATTCACTGTTTAAGCTGTAATACTGAAAATGCCTTCAAATCCAAAGCAAAATACTCAGTTCAAAATCTAGGACATATAAGTGAAAACTGAGGTATAACCACTTATCTATAATAGAGAACATTATATATAGATCATGGGGTATAAATATAATACAATATTAATGGCCATCTGCAGTGCCATAACAACACAGACACAGTCAATGAGTCTGGGTTCCTACACATGGTGGCAGGTGCTCATTTCTTAAAGCTGGCCACAGTGAAATGAACACTCCTGTCTCAAATAATCTTGATACAAATGAGGGCCACACAACACTGACAATCTGTTTATGGTATAATAGCGGGCCAAGTCATTACCCGTACACTTCAAGATTAAATCAAAAACACAAGAGCAATGTATAGCCTAGCCTAGCCTACCAATAATCAGGAGTTTAATAGAGCAGGGGCCTGTGGGAAGAGAACCATTGAAGCTGACAGTCATAAATGAGCTTTCATGTACATAATGAACAACTAATTAAAGACACCCCTGTACTACTTAATTTGCAGTCAGTTTGCTGTCTACAGCTCAGTCTTTGACACTGGCCGTTTGAAGTGCAGTGTCAGACAAACACCAGTGAACCATATAATATTTTGCCTTTCAGCAAAGGTACTTACAAATCCAAGACCATGGAACAAAAACCTGACACTCTTCACAATAAAAGTTCAAATTAGATCCAAAGAGACTTATTAAAAGTCTTACGTAATAGAAGGTACTTCTAGCTTCTTTGTATACAAGTTCATCAAAGATCTTTTAGAACTTTCACTTAAAGGGGTCATATGATGCGATTTCAAGATTTGCTTTCTCTTTGGAGTGTTACAAGCTGATTGTGCATAGATAAGATCCCTGAAGTTGCAAAGACTAAAGTCTCAAAACCAAAGAGATATACTTTATCAAAATTAAGACTCTGCCACGGCCCCCTAAAACGGCTCGTTCTAACACGCCCCCACATATCTACCTCACTATGTGGAAATATTTGCATAATGCCACCCAAATGTTCACGCAAAGAAAGTAGGCGTGGTTTCAGTAACCGCAGTTAGTGTTGAAGCAGCCATGTCAGGGAGACGGTGTGTGTTTCTAGGCAAAAGCAAAAGCACTTTATTTGGCCTTCCGAAAGTAGATGCATTTAGGAATCTTTAAGATCACTTACAACAGAACAGCAATGCATTTTATGGACGACCGTTTCGTGAACCTAGGAGAGGAGGTAATTCTGACTTTGCTATGACAATCTGGCGCTTCTGAATCAGCTACTGTTTTGTTATTAGTTTAAGTATTTGCTATTGACGGTTCAAATGCGGAGTTTTGCGCATCGTGTGTGTGTGTGTGCACGAGCGAGCGAGCGAGAGAGAGAGAGAGAAAGCGAGAGAGAGTGCGAGAGAGAGAGAGAGAGAAAGAGAGAGACAGCGAGAGAGAGAGAGAGAAAGAGAGAGAGAGAAAGAGAGAGTGCGAGAGAGCGAGAGAGAGAGAGAGAGAGAGAGAGAAAGAGAGAGAGAGCGAGAGAGAGAGAGCGAGAGAGGGGGGGGGGTCACATCACAAACACATACCAGCTTCATCACTGTGTCTGTCATGCGACTCTGTTCCCCTTTCGGGCTCTGTCTTTACATTTATTTTGAAAGATGAAGCTCGCGATTATGGTAAGGGGCGTTACATTTCCGACGAGTGCTTGCGGTGTTCAGCCAATCACAATGCACTGGGTCAGCTGGCCAATCAGAGCAGACTGCGCTTGTCAGAAGGAAGGACTTTGTAGAAAACGAAGCGTTTGAGAGAGGCGGGGCATAGAGGACCTACAATAATGTACAGTATTTGAAAAATAATGTGTTTTTTGAACATTAAAGCATGTCAACATATTCTATTACACCAAATACACAAAATAATGATCTTTAAAAAAGCATCACATGACCCCTTTAAAGAACCCAGAAACAAATATGCTGATCCAAAGAACCTGTAAATTATCATTGAGAAGGCTTTTGATCTCCAGAGAACCACATAACCTTAGTCAGGGTAGATGCCATATTTAACACCAATTAAATAAGGGCATGAGAGACTGATGTACAATGAATTGCACATGCGTATTGTCAAATTGTCAAAGTATTTTCTATGTTCTGTAGGCCAAACGTCTGACAACCAGGCACAACCATCAGCTTGAATTTCTTTGTAAATCATTCATAAATCCATTTGTATATTTGTAAATTGCCCCACTAAACTGCATTGTGACAATTTACATAGTGTAAGATGTTTTACGAATAATTCATCCTGAAATTCATTCTGATTCATAAAAAAAGCTCATTACATAGACTGCATCCCTAATTTTCATCCTTGTTAAATAAAACAAGGCATCTACCGGACTTTTATATTGCTTTGGAATGACATATTCTTCTTCTGAATAAAGCCTCTGATAAGATCCCTCTGCATTGTTTGCCTGTCCCAGCTTAATTCACCTCTTTCTAACAGCCCGTAGCTTATTTAACTCTACTTGTTTGTTTTTATTATGTCTTAATAATGAATAAATGCATTTAATTTTCGATTGCAAAATTTCACTGCAGTATTTCACTCTAGCCAATTATTCACCCTACTACAAACACAATATTATATTGAATAGCAGTCACATTTCTGAAATGACTTTGCATATTTCATGACATAATGGAGGGATAAAAATTCATTCATATACATATGAGCATTAAGACAGTAAAGTAAATTTCAAAAGAACATGAGGATATAATAATAGCAGAAATGGGATTCAACAAACATACCATCCTAACAGATGAAAACTCTTGGGTTCTTAAACTACAAAACTAAAAGATTTATTGAACTATACAGAACTAAAATGGAAATGGGAAAAAACACATCTAGCCTAAATAAAATATTACAATTAAATGTAATAAATTCTAGGCTAAATAAAGTAAGTTACTAAGACTCTGAAAATAAATGTAATTTACACAAAACTGAAACTACACCAGTAACGCACAGCTCTGCAAGCACTGGCTGGCCCTTTTGCTTTTTATTAATTCTTGTCACGTCCACTTAAAATACATGCTCACAGATGTCCACTGTTTATTTTTTCTTTACTTCTTGGGTTGATAAGAATGAAACTTTCAAAACCTGTAGTGTGTCTGGTTGACATCCTGTGCTTGGAACCGCAGTGCGCACTTGCCGTGAGACGAAATTCAATGTCTTTGTGCGGAATGAAGCACCTGAGTGACCAACCAACTGCGTTAAGATAGAACCTATAGCCAAACCAAAAGTGTGCAGATACGCATCGATAAAGCCACCATCCCTCACTGTGCCATATTTTGTTTTATCTGATAGACGTTCTTCAAGTCAAAGTACGCGTGTAGTTAAACAAGTAAAATATTGTCATGCCAAAGAACAGAGTGTACTGCGAGAAGGGTCAAAAGTTCCTCAGAGGTCTGACACGAGTGTTATTCTTCTCAGGCTAGTAAAACATAGTGAAACTGTTTTTTTCGTGAACATTGGCGGTGTAATTACACTCTAAAAAATGCTGGGTTGTTTCAACCCAACTTTGGGTCAAATATGGACTAACCCAACCGTTGGGTTTAATTTTTACATTAAATTTTTAACCCAAAAGTTGGGTTAGTCCAAATATGACCCAAAGTTGGGTTGAAATAACCCAGCATTCTTATGTAGCCTATAACAGTTAGATCTAGTGCAGCGTGAGATTTCATTATTTATTAAATGAATTCATTTAGCAATTCAACTCATATCCACTTCGAGTAAATCATCAGAACAGTACATTAACATAATGACTACTAGTATTTCACGAGGCTAGCAGATCCGAGGGATGAGTGAGTAAAAGTTTGTAGGAAAATCACCGCTTGAATTTTACACTTCACATCTAAACGCAACCGGTAATGAAGTTCCAGCAAAGATCTTACCTTCGGTCTCCATCCTGGAGTTTTCAATGAAAAGAAAAATGACGGTTAAATCTAGGAGAGTATTTGAAGGATATTTGAAGGATTTCATTCTGAAGCTTCAAGCGATTCTACGGGACAGTCTATTCCCAAATCACACTGTTTCCAAAGGAAGATGCGCGTTTGTCGCTTTCATGAGGGTGAACGGTAGAGCATCGCTCGGTTGGTCCAGTTTGTGTCACCCGCAGCGTTAACGGCGCTCCTGCGGACTGAGAAGACTGATGAACCTCTGCTGAAGCTGAGCTCCACATCCTTCATTGACAACTTCGTCACTGACGCGTAGTGAGGGATTATAACGTAGCCTACGTAGTAAAGCTAGAGGTCGTTGTTTTCATTTGACTATTTCGTGAGAACGCCAATTCCTGTGATCAGTAATAAGAGATGAGATGAGAACATGAGTTTTTGGAGACACACCACATCCGCAAAAAGTTATCCGCACTAATTTGTGGAGGCATTACCAGAATACCTAACATTTAAAAAATCTTATTTTTACCATCCCTCATGTCCATCAGTTATGAGTGTTTTGTGTTATTTAGTTCATATTTAGTGAATTTGTGTTATGAGGAAGAAAGAGGGTATAGTGGGGGGAAACCCTTTAATAAATTATTGTTGTTTTTTTCTGTGAAAACAAAAGTATCCAGAATAATTATCATAGTTTTAGTGACAATGACCTAAATTATAAACCAATTATGATGTCCAGAGTTTTCATGTTATTAGATTTTTAACAAAAGTACCAAGGCGTTTAGCCCCAGGTGGGTGATAGCTATGCTCCATGGATGGGGTAAAATGCCCCCAGTCTGACAAAGCAATTTGCTTTATACATTTACAGCTAAATCAGAGTAGGCCTACAGGCAGTTTTAAGCTTAAAATAACTAGGAATTGAAAAATTATAATAGCCTATTTGAAAATATTGTTAGCTGATGCTAACTGGCTAGCTAACTGATGCTATGGTAATTTTTAAATATAATATATTTTTATTTTAAAAAATAATATATTTTAGTTACCACTGGGTAACAATTGTGCTCTGTCAGAAAATCCATACTCTCTGTCGTCGTCGCAGTACATCCAGCTTCTTAAATTAGAAACGTTTGGCAAAACATGAAAATGGAAGGAGCCGGTTACAATCTACCCCATTGCCAGGGTAGGTTGTAACACGTGCTGGGGCAAGTTGTAACAATTAGACAAAAGAAGCGAAAACAGCAGCAGCAACAACATGCAATATGCTTCAAATACAGGTTTAATGAAACAATCTAAAAGAGCAATACTAGACAATGTCTCGTTTTCTGTGACTGACCACAGCTCAAATTTACTTTCTGTTTGACTCCGGAGTGTGTATGTGTAACTGAGTCTACTAGAACAAACGTCCTTAATGGAATTTATGCTTAATGAACACTCAGCTCCAGTGTACCTGTGTAAAGAACATGTAGGTCTAACAAAAAAACACTGTGTTTGTGTCAGTGTGTGAATATTCTCAGTCAGAGTCACAAAGGTTCCAAATGAATGTTGTTAACCCTGAGTGTAGACTTGGTGGGTCCAGAAACTGCATAGAGCACATTTTATACAGTTCCTTTGGCATTTAGCTGCCAAATGTCCCCATATAGACAACACGAAGGCTGTCTGTGGCTTTTCTTGCAACTGTTCTGAATGTCCTGCCCTTCTTTAAAATATAATCAGTTCTTTTTATGAAACACTGGCAAAGTACACCTCTGTCTTTCTTTTCCATTGTCTAGGCAAAAAGAAACTGTTCTCAGATGTATGTAAGGGCAAGTTTTAAAAACATGTTGCAACTTAACCCACCCCTGTCAGCCATTGTTTAGCTAGCCATATTAGTTTAATGGTTTGAAATTAGCGACTTGAAAATACATCACATGTTACCTGAGAATCTACAGTCTTCAATCTTGCGTTTCAGTGCGTGCCCACGCACAAGTGCATATCCTTTTGAGATATCAATTATAATCAATTTTAATAAAACACAAGACTACATTATATAACTCTAACAGTAGGCTATTTAATATCTGTTGTTCTCCGGCTGTCAGTCAGAATGACTGTTCTTGCGTGAACATAGGTCAACCCAAGCCAATTTATTATTCTTTCCTTTTTGTCTTAGTGTTTAAAATATGTATTTTGAAACAAATTAATTAATTTCTTAATAGGGTAGGCTATGACAGCTGTCATGTCATACCCTGCCATGCCCAGCTGATGCAAAGAATAGAATTTATATCTACACAGAAGAAAGCCCTGTCTAGACTCTGCCCCAGTATGAGTTGTGTCGAGCTATTCATTAGCCTGTTTGTTTGATGAAAAAAGATTAAATGTAGAAAAACGAAAAAACAAAAAAGGCCGTTTTCTAATTTTTCTACTTTCAATATTAAATCAAAAAACGAATGATCGAATGATACACGGATTCCTGAATACCCCCTGGATCCTGTCATGGTTTTAGTTGGTTTCCCAACCGGGTCACAAACATAACATTCCAAATAAAACCACTGGGTTACATTAGCTTTATCGAGTTATTTAAAACATTTTTGGGTTATTTTTAGTTAGAGGTCTCATGGCGAAAATTTAAATAGTAATCAAGTTGTTTGTAGTCAGGATTTACTCTTTATTTATTTTTTACATGTTGGAGAAGGGAAGCTGTGGTTACAGAAGCCATCTAGTCAACACTGGATGATGTAGCCTGTGCAGGAATTAATTAATGCCCACTGGGGTTACAGAGCCAACAAGAGGTCAACCAATTGATCCCCTATGGAGTGCAAATCAGATAACACACCTGGTGATTGCCTGCCAGACAATGTTCCTTTATCATTGATAAATAGTCTGTGTGCTCTTTGAGATAAAAAAGTAATTGGTCACATGGATTTTAGGTGACTAAATCAAAAATTGGCATAACTGAAACTGAGAACCATGAACAAAGCACCAGCCAATCCAGAGATGAATGGAAATGCTAACGGATTCTAAAAGCTTCTAGGTGTTATAGACCTAAAATTACTGAAGCCTCATCAAAAGACTGACGCTCACAGGTTTAATTACATCTAATCTTTTGAAATAATTAGTAAATGGGATCATTAGACTTCACTTTTCATATGATGCATGGCTTTTAACATAACTTCACCATCTACTGCATGATGATGGGTTTTGAACTATTTTGTGTGTTTCCAATATAGCTTAGAAATGCTGCAATGTGTATATGTCACAAGATATGACACAGGATACAATGGGACAGTTTCTTTTATTTTGAATGATATACATTCTTTTTTGTCCTCTGTTCAGAACCTTATTATAGGATAAAAAACACAAAACAACACAATACCCAACCCATCATAACAAAATTTTGATGTAAGGCTTGAAACACATTTTATAACAGACAGCGTGTGCTATACTTTGGCTAGAAAGATTCAAATAACATTGTGCTGTAGAAAACAAATGTTGAAAATTACAGATCATAGTTTATTTAGTTATTATTTGTTCTATTTAAAGAATTAATGTGAATAAAATAATATTAATATTAATAATGATTTCAAACAAATATTAATATATATATATATGATATAGTTTTTTAAAAGTTAGTGCTTCCCAAGTTAAATACATTTTAACTTCTATAGCTTAACCAATAATGCGAGTTTGCTTATGTAACTCCTGTATGTCCACAAAAATATTCTGATTAAGTGGAGAAGATGATTAAATTCTTATCACTCCGAATCATAAAACATACTTTTTATTCTGTTTGTTCTTAAGCCTAAACTTTCTGCAAACATTTACAGTGATCTTTACCTCCTCTTTTAATTCTAAATATTAAAGAAGAATGAAAACAAAAGAATTGGAAGTCACCTCAGCTCCTCTGTTACTCTTATTAGCATATGAACTGAAAGAAACCAAATTAACATTCACAGAGGACCGGACCACAGCAACTGTAATGGATTATCACCATGCACGTTCACAAATAAATGTTATTCATGATCCAGCAGCTGGAAAGGTAATCTCACCAGGGTTCAATAAAAATGGAGAGAAAGGATGGATGAGGTGGAGTGAGAGATGCAGCATTGTTCTGGGTATATGAAAATGTCTCTCGCTGTGCAAACAAGAGGACAATCGCCCTCTTTCCGTCTTTTCATTGGCATTGTTCATTGAGCCGGATTCATGCTCTGCTTTAATGAATCACTGTGACAGCGTCGTTCTCAATGCCTATTGCTGATCTGGCAGAATTGTTGGTGGCAATAGCCTGTGGAGAATCACTGAACTCCGTAAAGTACAGATCGAGAAGTGGTTATCTCTACTCCCAACAGAAATTAAAAGGCTTTGCTCATCCAAACTGTTTCCCGTAACACTCATTATCTGGCAGCCTGCCTCAGAGAACAGCAGAAGGTTGTTGTCTCAGAAGTCCATCACCTGTCGCTACTCAGACAATTAAATGTGGAAGCTGTATGACTGTGGGACTTTTACTAGCTTTTTCCTCTCAGAATAACCCAAATGTTGAATCTTTACAGTGAAATAGACAGAATGCCTGCAAGAAATACCTTTTTTTCCTTCACAGGTCAACCGTTTGGTTTACTATGTGCTCTTTAAGCATCACACACAGACCCAAGAAAATCTATTTTTTGTTTTAACCTCACGCTCACACTGAAAATGCATAATTTACTCATCCTCATGTCATTCCAAACCTGTCGAGTGGAACACATTAGAAGCTACATTAAAGAATGATTCAACTGTTATTATCCACAGAATGGCAATTAGACCCCAATGACTTTCACTGTGGGGACCAAAAAAGATTGATCAAAATATGTGTGTGTGTGTGTGTGTTCTGCAAAAGAAAAGGAATTACATGACAGTGAGTAAATGATGACAGAGAGTCCCATAACACACAAAAAAGCTGTTTTGCAATACAATATTTTGTCTTACCTTAGCTCTTTGTCTCTGAAAGTATCAGTAAAAAGTAAAAAAACAAGTTTTTGACTCACTGCTTCATCTTTCAAGGTTTCAAAATGTTCTTTCACAGGATAAAAATATCTGTAGTTCAGTAGCTCATAAAGCACCAAGACGACAACACTAGCACAA